CATGCGAAGCTGCAAGCTCGAAGGGAAGCCCTCGAGGAAGTTCATGCTCAGGGATTCGATATACAGGCTTCACTTGAGAGTGCCAAAGCAGAAGAAGATAGGGCTCGAAAGCTTGCCTTTCTTGAGGAAGACTCGGATAGTTTAAGTAAGTCTGAAGGCAGGGAAGATCTCGAGGATGGAGATTCTGCCTCTGATGAAGACCAGGCCACTTAGGCCTTTATGTTTTTTGTTTTTCTTTTGCATCCTTTTGAGTCCATTTTGGCCGGTGTAGATTTTGTATTAGGCCGATTTGGCCTTTGTTAAAAACTATTGTACATAAAAATAAGGATTTTCTTTCCCTTTCGGCTCTCAAATTTTTTCCTTTACTTTATTATTTGTATTCACAAAGGTTGGAATGACTTAGCATGAAACAATAAGGTTGTGTTCGAGGGTTTAATCAAACCTTGCCTTTATTGCCTTTCTAGGTTAAGTTGTTATCGAGGTTTGATGTTACCAAAGTTTTCTCCCGAAAATATCTTAAGTTTGAGATTCTGCGAGGGTAGCCTTTAGAACCGGTTGTGAAAGAATTTTATTTTCCGAAGGCCTATTTTTGTTACAGATTTCGGACGTCTCCGAACCGTGTTAAGTTGGCTGTAGCCTTTTAGTTCGGGCGTAGCCCAGTGAGCTTGCTTTCTCGAGTTATCCTGGCTTTACCTAAGATAACAGTCCCCGAGTGGGTATGGTCGTGACCTTTAAAATTCGGGGGTTTCCTAAGAGGTCTTATGTCCCTAATGCTTAATAGTTCGATTTGTTCGAGTTTATTTTTTGAATGGCAGTCCCCGAGTGTGGGAGTGATCATCCGAACTCTAGTTATAATCGTCCCTTGAGCTCATTTCCATAATAGATCGAAAGTATGGAATTGTACAGTAGAAAAAAAAATTCCAAGGCACAAGATAATTGCAAGGAAAAATATTTCTCTTTATTCTTGTGAAAAATGATTACACATGCGTACATGTTTTGTGCCAGGCCTCGACCAACCTATGTGGGCACAATTCGTTTGACCGTTTGGCCCTTACAATAAATCTCACCTATCGATACCCCGCTATTATAAAGTGATTTCCTCGCAAAAAAGTCGACATCCAAGGGCAACACCCCTTAGTATTTGAGGTTGATTGTAGAGGAACCTCGGATACTGTTAGTGCTATCTTTGACACTGATTCGTGATTAGCCTTCGACTCTAAGTTATGGTTCAAGAGAGAAAGAGTGCAATGCATTCTTTCAGACCTAAAGACTTCGTGCCGCTCCTTGTCGATCATCGCAAGTGTTAGTCTAAAAATAGAAAGAATATAAATGGGGTCGTACCTTAGTAGTAATATCATTTATGATGAGTTACTTTACAATTGTTCGGTAGTTGTTCTCCATTCATCATTCCGAGCTTATAGGACCCTTTCCCTGTGATCTCGAGAATCTGGTATGACCCTTCCCAGTTCGAACTCAATTTCCCTTCGTTTGGATTTCATGTGCTTAATGTGACCTTCCTCAGCACTAAGTCCCCAACATTAAAAAATCGAAGGTTGGCCCTTCGATTGTAATACCTTTTGATGCATTGCTTTTGGGCGACCAATCGAACAATGGTAGCTTCACGTCGTTCATCTAACATCTCCAAGCTTGTATTCATGGCCTCGTCATTCGATTCCTTCATCGCATATCAGAATTTGATACTCGGCTCTCCCACTTCGACCGGTATTAAAGCTTCGGCACCATAAACCAATGAATACGGGGTGGCCTCGGTACTAGTCTTCGAAGTAGTGCGATACTCCTAGAGATCTTCGGGTAAGATCTCTCTCCATTTTCCCTTGGCGTCGGTCAACCTTTTCTTGAGGTTTTCCATTATGGTTTTGTTGGTCGATTCGGCTTGTCCATTCCCACTAGGGTGATAAGGTGTTGACAAGATCCTTTTGATCTTATGGTCTTCGAGAAATTTGGTCATCTTGTTGCCAATTGTCACATGCAATTTTTGATGGTATTCTGAATCGACATATGATGTGGTCCCAAATGAAGTCGATGACTTCCTTATCCCTGATCTTCTAGTATGCCTATGCTTCAACCCATTTAGAGAAATAGTCAGTCATAAAAAAACAAATTGAACCTTAGCTGGTGCCGATGGAAGAAGGCCGACGATGTCCATCCCCCACTTCATGAACGGCCACGATGATAAAATCGAATGCAACAGCTCCACAAGTGGATGAATCATCGGAGCATGTCTTTGACATTTATCATATTTTTGCACAAACTCCTTCGCATCTTTTTCCATATCGACCCAGTAATAGCCGACTCTAATTACCTTTCGAACCAGTGATTCGACACCTAAGTGGTTACCGTATGTGCCTTCATGGACTTCCCTCAAAACATACTCGGTATCTCCCGGTCCCAAACATATTGCTAGCGTACCGTCGACCGTTGTCCTAAGTAAAGTTCCATCTTCGGACAAGCTAAATCAGGCTACCTTTATGCTCAATTCCCTCGATTCCTTTGGATCTGAGGGAAGTTTTCTGGTCTTCAAATACACTATGTATTTATTTCTCCAATCCCAAGTCAAGCTTGTGGAGTTTATTTCGGTGTGACCTTCTTCTACTACCGACCTCATAAGTTGTATGACCGTCCCCGAGTTGAGCTCGTCATCCTTGACCGATGATCCCAATTTCGCGAGGGCATTGTCCTTACTATTTTGATCTCGAGGCACGTGCTGCAAAGTCTACTCTTTGAACCGATGTAATGTTACATGTAGCTTGTCTAGGTATCTTTGCATTCGCTCATCTATTACTTCGAACATTCTGTTAACTTGGTTCACTACTATCAAGGAGTCACACTTAACTTCGATCACCTCCATTCCCAAGCCTTTGGCCAGTTCGAGTCCTACAATCATGGCCTCATATTCGGCCTCGTTGTTAGTCAATATTACAGTTCTAATAGATTGTCTAACTATATTGCCTGTGGGTTGCTTCAGTACGATGCTAAGTCCGGACCATTTTACATTCGAGGAACCATCCGTAAAGAGGATCGATATTCCCGAGGATGTTCCCACGTTTATCATCAACTCTCTTTAGACTTCGGATATTAGGGCCAATGTAAAGTCAGCCACAAAATTTGCCAAAATTTGAGATTTGCTGGCTGTTCGGGGTTGATATTAGATATTGTTCCCGATGATTTCTACGGCCCATTTGGCCAGTCGTCCCGAGAGTTTAGGTTTATGCATTATATTTTGTAAAGGGTAGGTTGTCACAACACATATAAGATGGCACTAAAAATACAGTTTTCGTTTCCTAGAGGCACTTAGCAAGGCGAGGGCCAATTTTTCTATGTGAGGGTATCTTGTTTCGGCCTCACCTAAGATCCTACTGACATAATAAATTGGAAATTGCGTACCTTGTTCTTCTTGAACTAGGACTCCACTTACCGTTATTTCCGATACCGCTAGGTACAAGTACAGTCGTCCATCCGCCCTTGGCTTGTAAAACAATTGCGGGCTCAACAAGAATCCCTTAAGTTCTTCTAAAGCCCGTTGAAATTCTGGGGTCTATGTGAAGTTGTTATTCTTTTTTAGCAACGAAAAAATCGATGACTTTTATCGAACGACCTCGAGATGAATCACCCCAGGGCTACAATGCGCCCGGTTAGCCTTTGTACAGGCTTCACATTATCCACTACCGTGATATCCTTGATAGCTTTGATCTTGTCAGGGTTGATCCCGATCCCTCGATTGGATACCATGATTCCAAGAAACTTGCTGGACCCGACCCCGAATGCATATTTTTCTGGATTCAGCTTCATGTTGTACTTCTTCAATATACTGAAGGTTTCCTGCAAATGCTTTAGATGATCCTCTACTCGTAGGGACTTAACTAGCATATCGTCAATATAAACTTCCATGGTTTTTCATATTTGTTCTTCGAACATTCGGTTTACTAGTCGTTGGTAAGTGGCACCGACATTTTTTAATCTGAATGGCATTACGTTTTAGCAGTATGTGCCATATTTAGTGATGAAAGAGGTTTTTTCTTGGTCACTCGGGTTCATCTATAATTGGTTGTACCCGAAATAGGCATCGAGAAAACTGAGAGTCTTGTGGCCGGTCGTGGCATCGATCATGCGGTCGATGTTAGGCAAACTGAAGGAATCTTTGGGGCATGCTTTGTTTAAATCTTTATAATCTACACACATTTTTGTTCCCTTTCTTAGGGACTACTACTACGTTTGCTAACCATTTCGGGTATTTGACTTCCCGGATGGACCCTATTTTAAGAAGTTTGGTTACCTCATCCTTAACGAAGGCATGTTTAATCTCGGACTGGGGTTTCCTTTTCTATTATATTGGACGGAACTTCGGGTCCAAGCTTAGTTTGTAAGTAGTGATCTCCAGTGGGATCCCTGTCATATTGAGATGGGACCAAGCAAAACAATCCATATTAGCTATAAGAAATTGAATGAGTTTTTCCCTAAGCTCAAGAGTTAACCCCCTGCCCAGGTATACCTTCTGATCGGGTAGATGTTTGATAAACACGACCTGCTCTAACTCTTCGACCGTTGACTTGGTAGTATCAGAATCATTGGGGGTGACAAAGGATCGAGGAACCCGAAGTCATCATCTTCGTCATTCCCTTGCTTGTCCGATAGGGTCGAAGCTGGAATCGATGATTGCTATTTGGCTTCCTATTTTGCTTTCAAACCTGAGTCCTTTGTCGATGAGAATGTTGATATCAGAACTACTTCATCAACTGCAAACATCTCCTTCGCGGCGGGTTGTTCCCCATAAACCTTCTTTATCCCCTATAGTGTTGGAAATTTTAATGCCTGGTGAAGGGTCGAACGTACAACCCTCATGTTGTGGATCCATGGTCTTCGGAACAAGGCGTTGTATCGCATGTTCCCCTTGATTACATAGAACTTGGTGTTCTGGGTGGTACCGGCAATGTTATTTCTCCCTTTGTAGTTTCGCAAGCCATGTTGAATCCGTTCAGCACTTAGGCCGCAGGTACGATCTGGTCCTGTAGGTTGAGTTTTTCTACGACATTTGACTGAATGATGTTAGCCGAGCTACCTAGATCAATTAGCACACATTTAACTCTAGTTTTATTCATAAGAACAGAAATTGCCAACGCATCATTATAAGGTTGTATGATTCCTTCTGTGTCCTCGTCGTTGAAAGATTGAGTCTCTTTTGGTAAGTAATCCCGAGTCTGTTTTTCTCTTGTGATTGACACTTTGGTGCGTTTCATCATCGGACCTTGAGGAACATCGACCCCTCCAATGATCATATGGATGACGTGCTGGGGTTCGTCTTGTTCATTTTGCTTGTTAGAGTCCCTGTATCTGAAGTGGTTCTTAGCTCGGTTATTTCGAAATTCTCGAAGATGACCGTTGTTGAACAACCGAGCTACTTCTTCCCTTAATTGTCGAGACCTGTGGTCGTGCGTGCCATGGTATTTGCATATTTGGTTGGGATCCCTTTGTGTTGGATCAGTTTGCAAAGGTCGAGGCCACTTGGTTTCTTTGATGTTCCCGATAGCCGAAACGATGGTAGCCGCATCAACATTAAAGTTATAGTCTGATAACCGTGGTGCCTCTTTGGGTCCCATAGATCTATCGAAGCCGCTCTTGGTCATGAGTCCCCATGATCTTGAACCTCGATCATTTCTTCTTTTATTTCGTGCAGAGTTTTGCCCAGACCCGCTGCTCCTATGGTATCCATTATGCGGTTGATATCGATCTCTATTCGACCTTGGTTCTCAATATATATCTCTCTCAATTCTATCTACGGGTCTGATAGGATAAATCGACCTAGAAGGAGCTCTTAGTTGATCATCCTCAACCCTGATCTTCGACTGATATCGATTGTGAACATCGGCCCAAGTGACAGCTGGGTATTCAATCAAATTCTCCTTCAACTACTGTAAAGCCACTAAACTTCGAATGTTGAGACCTTGAGTGAAATCTTGAATAGCCCAATCATCAGCGACAGGTGGAAAGTCCATCCGTTCCATTTGGAATACTGACACGAATTCTCTAAGCATCTCGTTGTCCTTCTACTTTACCTTGAAAAGTTTCGACTTCCTGCTTGCGACGTTAATGGACCCGGCATGTGCCTTTACGAAAGAATCTGCAAGCATAGCAAAGGAGTCAATAGAATTAGGCGGTAAGTTATGATACCATATCATAACACCCTTCGATAGAGTCTCCTCAAATTTCTTTAGCATGACGGATTCGATCTCGTCATCCTCCAAGTCATTTCCTTTGATAGCACACGTGTTGGAGGTGACATGTTTGTTTGGATCGGTCGTCCCATTATACTTAGGAATCTCGAGCATACGGAACTTCTTAGGGATTGGCTTCGGAGATGCACTCGGGGGAAATGTTTTGTACAAACTTTTTGGAATCTAGTCCTTTAAATATTGGTGGTGCCCCCAGGATTTGGTCAACCTTAGAGTTATAGGTTTCCACCTTCTTATCATTTTCCTGGATCTTCTTTACCCCTATCTTTCGATTTGTCAATTCTTCGAGCATCGGTATAATAGAAGGATTAGTCTTCGATTCCTTCTCATTCGATTTCATTGAAACCAATTTGACCCTGTGTATGATTTCCTAGGATGGCTCGAGTTCGACCCTGCTCCATGTGTGATTCTGATTTTGGAGCCGGGAAATTGCTGCATGTTGATCCTGTAACATTTCGAAGATCACCCACAGGCTAATCCCACCATCTTCACCGCCACGTGCGCTCTGAGTAGCTGATCGGGCATCCTCGCAGATGCTGGTTTCAAGATCGACAACCAAATTTCCATTGATGGATACATGTGAACTGACGTCGATTGGATCTACAACCAGAATTCCATCGAGGCCAGTAGGGGGTACAACATTTCCTGGTGCAATGTTCTCGTTTTCGTCGTGGTAGCGAGATCATTGTCAATGTGTTGAGGTGCTGACTGAGAGTTTTACATTTTTTAATCCTCTAATCAAAGATACTTCAAAGAACAAGTGTATAATAGTATGTGTTACGAATGTTTATACCAGGTAACCACTATTATCCTTAGCCCCACGGTGGGTGCCAAACTATTTACCTTAAAATTGGATAACAATTGAATTTATATGCGATTTTAAGGACACGTGATATAACTTGGTACAAATTAAGAAGAATAAACTAGTATTGATATTAATGATGAAAGTAATAATGCAAACCAAATAAATGGAACAGCCTTGGCCCTCGAGTTCAGTCTCCCTTGAACCAAATATGTTTCAACTTGCTTATGAATAGAATCACAATATAATGAAAGCTAGAAAATGACAGTATATTGCTTTGTATTGCGTGAATATGATGTGTTTACAAATGATCAGACTCCCCTTTATATAGTAGGGGAGTCCTACTCTAAGTACAATTCTATATCAGGTAGGAAATCCCATAATTGGCTAATTAATTGACCTCTTCTTGATACGTGTCGAGATTTGCGCCGTGATCCTTGCCCGATTGCGGATATTTTCCCTTTCCGTTATTCGACTTGGTAAGCTTCCCTCGATCTCTATCTTGTGCGGTCTTGGTCTTGGTCGATCTGAGGGCCACGAACTCGACAACCTAACTTTCCATCATAGTTCGATATAATATGAGGCTGAAACTTGGCTTATCGCATTCAAACCTCGATCAGTCACACAAAAAGGGCAAACCCGAATTTGACTGTATACAATTATAATTTACATGAGATTCAATATGTCATTCTTTTTTTCTGTTCTATATGTTAGATGGAAAATTCTATCGCAAAATAAAAAATGTAAGCAACAAGGTGAAAAGAGTTAATACGAGTCATGAGAGTCGAGATATTAAGGTGGTCAATGTTGGCAATGTTCAGTTTAAGATTTTCAAATAGACCAATTTAAATTTGGCAAACTTGACTGTTGTGTAAGATCGTGGGTTAACTAGCACACAATAATACATAAAGCAAATAGAGAAGAAAAATTAACACAAGGATTTAACGAGGTTCGGCTAAGCCTAATCTTCAGGGCAAAATCAGAGAGAGTTTTCCACTATGAATGAAAAGAAAAGTACAGTACAGTGTATAGAATCTCCAGCTACAACCCCTATATATAGATCCCAAAAGGTCTCAAACCTATAAGAGAAAGGTTCCAAATTTTACAAGGACTATAGGTTTTCCTAAACCTATAGGGATTATGGGTTTCCTAAAAATACAAGGAAATAATTCAAGACACAAAATAATAAATCTTCCCCATGGTTTGAATTCTCTTCATTAATAGGAGCAACGGCTCTCTACCTTGCCCTCAGCCCTCACAGGGGCTTTTCCCATTGCCGCACATATCAACCAAGTCTAGGCAATGCCTAAACTTGTTAAGAGAATCAATTTAGTCATTGCACTGATCTGTCGATTTGGTTCTGTACCCGGAATAGCTTCTGGATAGCTATAACACTCAAGCGCATCAACAGTCTATGCAACTGCCAAAGCAAATCCACGTGATTCGTATATCCAAGAAGATTCCCATCAACTACATTTGCAAACCTTTGCGGTCGGTTGATCACTCTCTTCTCTCTGCATGTTGCAATGCTATATGGTTGTTATTGTGCAGGTGCATCAACATTATCATCTTGATCAATATTTTACACTTCCTCTACTTTAGAACTACTGGGCTGAGCTAGTAGAGATTCAATTTCTAGCTCTATGCGGTCACTGACACCACGATCTGTTTCTGCTATTGCCTTCTCCCTCTGGCTGTCTAGTGAGGCAGATTCATTGCATGTTATATCCCTACTAATAATTAGCCCTGGAGTCTTTTGATCTGTGCACCATAACTTATAACCTTTCACTCCAGTTGCATACCCTAGAAATAGGCACTTCTTTTCCGTTGGCTCGAGTTTTCCATCGCTCACATGAGCATAAGAAGGACAACCAAATATTGTTAAATTTGAATAATCAACAGGCGAACTGGACCATACCTCAAAAGGAGTTTTGAACACAATAGATGTGGATGAAGATTTGTTGACCAAATAACAAGTTGTATTGATTGCTTCAGCCAAAAAATCATTGCTAACACATGAGTGTGAAAGCATGCCTTGTGCCCTATCACAAAGTGTTCTATTCATAGGTTCTACAACACTATTTGTTTGTGGTTGATATTTAGCTTAAAGTATTTATATTTATATGTATAATGCCTCATGTTTTACTTGTGTTTCGGGGATTTCGGATGTGAAATGTATTGATTTATGCTTATTCGTGGTATTTTTATATGTAGGAATCATTTGGAAGCAACTGGGGGAGCAAAGTGCGAGATTAGAGCCAAAATGAAGGAAAAATGGGAAAGGTGGAATTTCAGCGTCCCACGCCACCTATGGCACCATGGGCAGAATCTTCAGCATTACAGTGCTAGGGACAGTGCCCGACGCTGCCCTGGGCACTGGTGATGAGAAATCACTCCTACTTCGCCCGAGACAAGGTTATTTCGGCCCAAGACCCCTCCCCTCACCCAACTCGCATAAAAGGGGTCCTAAACCTAATTTGGAGGAGATCTAACATAGTTGGAAGGAGAATTCACGTGGGGGACAAACACCACGCTTTAGAGGAGGCTTCTAACTAGTTTTTCTTCTATTCTCTTCTTTTAATTTCATAGTTTATTAGTTCTAGAGTTGTGGGGTGCTACATGAACGTTGTATTTTGAGCCATAAATTGTTCTTATTATTTTATCATATTGGTTTATTTATTCAATCTTGCGCTTAATTATTTGATTGTTTGATCACCAATTGAATACTATCTACGAATCTAGGATTGAACTCGGGAGAAGGAATTTTAGATTGCAAATAAAATTGAATAGAGCAAGATCTTGAACTCGAGCATCGGGAAAGGATTTGCAGTTAGGATAGGGATATACCTAATCACCTTGTTTGGTTTCTATACTTGAATTATTAATGCGTTCTTGTTAATTCTAATTCCATAGGAATATATGCGCTAGGTTAGCTTGAATAAATGAGTAGTACTTTGGGAGAAGGCTACGATTAATATTAACCCTGTCAATTAATAAACTAGATAAATTAATTAGAAAATTTAAGTGAAAAACTCAACGGGATTGTTAGCTAACCCATAGCTCTAGAATATTTTATCCCATTGAATTCATCTCTAAGATTGAAAACTTATTTCCTTTAATTTCTTAGTTTGTTACTTAGATTAGTTTTAGTTAAATATTCATAGTTAGATATTTGCTTGGATAGTTTAATTGTGTTAGTTTAATTTAGTAGACAGTTAATCACAAGTCCATGTGGGTACGATATCTGGACTTATAATCCTATATTACTTGTCGATCACGTATACTTGCGTATGCGTTTGGGAGGAACAAGTGTTTGGCGTTGTTGCTTGGGACTTAAAAACTAACTATTCTACTAGATTAGATTTTTACTTTTTGTTTATTCATGTTTTATTTATTTATTGGTTACCGTGAAAATGGTAATAACAATTAAATTTGATTATGGGACTCTAAAAATATGTGATCTATTTTTATGCTAGTTGTTAAGCAGTTGATGCTATGTGTGAGGTTTAGAAATGAGATAAGAGTAAGAGTAAGGTGATAACCAAACCGATAGGTTAACAATCGG